TGGTTTTTAGAGAGTGTATAGTGAGAGAAATGTTGTTACAATTCTCTTAACCTCAACCCTTCCCATCTTCATGCATTGAGTGAGTGATATTCACTACTATCTCGCCAGAGAGTTTGTCGGTCGAAGGAAATGGGAGTTCCGATCAGGAGAACATTCGGAATCTGAGCAGCCCAGCTATTTGTTAGTTGTCAGTACATGCTTGTGACAAAGTATGCCTGTGGAGGGAATTTCCTAGGTAACCAACTTGTAGTTTGGGTTGAAGAAGTTTTGGGTGTTTTGTTCTTAATCAATAGTGATTATTGAACCTCTCCTAGATTGGTATCCCCGGGATGTAGGATAGTTTATATCCGAACCAGGTAAACAAATAACTTGTCATTTATTGCTTTGCTCTCTGCATTTATTTCATTGACAAGGCGTCGTTATAACTGAGATATAACTATGCTTCGGGAGTTGGCCCTTGAATAGGTGTTCGAAGGTGATTTGGTACAACACTTATTCTCCCAACAGTGGATATGAATGAGTTTAATGAAAATCAAAATATCGTAGTGCACCAAAATTCCGAAGATGACATGTCAGTTGGTGATTCTCAAGAAAAAGATCTAACCACCTTTGTTGAGTCCGATGTTGATGAGATGGAGTCGTATGCCATTTATGATATAGGTCAAAGTATGATCCCACCGTTAGTCTTGAAATGATTTTTAGCTCTAAAAAAGAATTCAAGGATATGGTTCAGAATCACGCTATCAAGACAATGAGAAAATTGAAATTTGTCAAGAATGATAAAATAAAAAAAAAGTTTATGTCTGATGTGCCGTTGAGAACTGCAATTGGAAAATAAATGCGTTAAAGATGAATGATCAAGCATCTTTTCAACTATGGACATATAATTGCAATCATGATTGTATGTGCGACTTGAATATGAATGATGTGAAGTCGACATGGCTTGCAAGGAAGTATGAATTGTTGTTTCGATCATATTCTAAACGACGTATAAAAGGGTTTAGGACAGACGTCACAAAAGACATTCAATGCAATATATCCCATCAGCAAGCATACAAAATGCGGAAATGGGCACTGAAAGCAATTGAAGGTGATGCCGAAGAGCAATATAGAAAGTTGTGGGACTATGTTGAAGCTTTACGACAGTCTAATCTTGGGTCAAATTTTTTGATGCAATTGGAAGGCGAATTTTTAAATGGAGGACGTAGATTTAGCAAGTATTACATATGTTTGAAATCGCTTGTGCGCGGGTTTCAGTCTGGATGTCAACCTATCATTGGGATGGATGGTTGTCACCTAAAAGGTCCTTGTCAAGGCATTCTTTTTACTACTATTGGAATTGATCCCAACAATGAGTTGTTTTCCTTGGCATATGTTGTTCTCGGGAGTGAGACGCCCGAAGCTTGGGAGTGGTTTTTTACTCTTTTAAGAGATGATTTGAACATAGAGCATGAGGGTTATACTTTTATATCTAACAAACAAAAAATTCTTGTGCCATGGAAAAGATTTTTCCTCCATGCGAAAAAAGATTTTGTGCTCGACATTTGTATGGAAATATGAAAACAGCTTGATTTAAGGGTCTTGCATATAAAAGATTGATATGGATGGTTGTCGACACAAGTATTGTCCCTGACTTTAAGGAGGTGATGAAGGAGATTCAAGAGTTGGATCCGAAATGCATTGATTGGTTTGCCGACAAGCCACCATCTCAGTGGTCAAGATCACATTTTGCTACATTTTTTAAATGTGATATGATCTTGAACAATTTATGTGAATCATTCAATAGTATAATTTAAATGCAAGAGAAATACCGATATTGCCGATGTTGGAGTGGATTAGAATATACTTATTAACATGGCTTCAGAAACAAAAGGAGACGGCGCATAAAAGATGGGGGGGGATATGCTCTTTTGCCCAAAGATAGTAAAAATTATGGAAAAAAACATCCAAGCGGTATCTTCTTGTGCACCCGTTAAAGTCAATGATTGGTTTTATGAAATTTATTGTTCGGATGGGAATCGATTTTTTGTTGACATTTTACAAAAATCCTGCAATTGTAAAAAATGAGAGTTATGTGGGATCCTATATCGCCATGCGATGAGTGCTATATGTGGACAATAGTTAAATCCATAGGATTTTGTTGACGAAGTATACAGTTTTGAGATATTCAATAAAGTGTATTTGTATTCTATTGGCACAATGGATGGTAAAAAAATGTGGCCAAAAACTGAAGTGTCTCCACCACTTCCCCCAAATGTTAAACGAGCTATTGGAAGGCCTAAGAAGGCAAGGAGACGTGACCCCAATGAAGTAATGGAAAAAGGTCAATCACGGGGAAATAGGTTAGTGAGAGTACTTTACCAAGACAAAAAGTTAGAAGAACTTGCAAATTTTGTGGCCTTTTGGGCATGCTTTGAAGGGTTGCCAAAAAATAATAGCAAGTTTGATCGAATCAAATTCCACGGAGGATGCAATGCAACTTGCTGAAGAGTTGTCGCAGAGATGCAATATTCCAACGCAAACTCAAAGTATCTCAACTCCACAAATTCAATAAGCCGAGACTCCTACGATACAACCTTCCATTGCAAAGTTAACGGTACGCAACTTATGTGATGTATTGATATATTGGTACACATATTGATGTTTCGATTACAATAAATTATTACTGTTTGTATAAAATAGGTGAGAAAAAGAACTTTTGGAAGGAGTGCAACAACTGAAAGCGAAACATCGAGTGGGACACATTAATAGAAAATATGAATTTGGGGCATGTTTACGTGGAGTTGATTTGTGTTACTCTCTATGAATTTGGCTTATGTTACTATATTTGGATTAGTCTTGTGTTATTTGTCTTTTGTTATTGTGTATGAATTTGCCTTATGTTTGTTGTGGGTTTGATGTATGGATGAATTTGAGTTATTTAGTTGGTATTGTTTTTGTATAGGTGTTGTTTTTGGATGTGTTAATTTTAACAATGGTCCTACAAAAAATTTAGGGTTAAAAACGGGCGTGTTACTCTAAACACGGCCGTGTACGCATGCATTACGATTGCAAAAAATCACAAACACAGCCGTGTTCTACAAACACACGCCATAAAGTTTTACTCATAGTACACTAAACACGGCCGTGTTTAAAAAATAGAATAGAACACAGGGGTCAGACACGGCCATGTCAGTGGCCGTTTAGTCAAACACGGCCATGTCATAATCAACATGGCCGTGTTAATTTACAGAATAGTGCAGTGGGGTTATACACGCCCATGTACGTGACTGTGCAACTAAACATGGCCGTGTTCTTGCATTAGCCGTGTTCCACACATTTACCTCGTGTACAACTAACACGGCCGTGTACGTGTGCACACGGGCATGTTCTGGAAACAGAATAGTGCAGGGGGTTTATACACGACCATGTTCATGGCCGTGTTATGGTGCACGGGCGTGTTCGTGTGATACATGGCCGTGTTAAGTTCAGTAAAAGTTTATCCATTTTATAATAAACACGGTTGTGTATTGTTTGAACACGACCGTAATTGAGGCGCGTTAGGTTTTTTAAAAACCCGAATCGGTCGAACACAGGAGACAAAATATACAAATCTCTCGTGTTCGGCTCCAACCTACACATTCCTGGACGACCGCGAGGGCGGCGGCAACAGACGACGGGGAAGGCGGCGGCTGATCTGGGTTTTTTCTTTGCATCGATTTTAGAGATTTGGGAAAAAAGGTTTTTTTTTCAAAAAAATTTCAAGTAGTTTGTTGTTTATACAATATTTACTTGTTATATCTCTCGCATTATGGTATATATTTGGATTTAAAAATTATTTGATTTTTTTCTCAATTATAAACTAGGTATTGTTGGATTTTTTTAACGATGTAGTATAATGGTTTGTTCTTGGTGTTGTATTTATAATTTTTTTTCCTTAATGTGGTACAGTATTTTGTTCTTGGAGTAGTATTGAGGCTTTTTTGGATTTTTCAAACAATGTCATATAATGCTTTGTTCTTGGTGTTGTGTTTATTGAGGTTTTGTTGAATTTTTCGAACAATGTCATATAAAATTTTGTTCTTGGTGTTGTGTTTAGTGTTTTTTTTTAACATAGTATAATTTTTCACTATTTTATTTTTTACGTTTTGTTAACTTTAAGGAATGGTGCCTAAACGAGGAAAACAACGGAGCAGCAAGGGAGTATCAACCGATGTTGGTTCATCGTGGGAGATACGGATTTAAGTGGTCGGTTTTTGAATTTTCAAGAACAAGAGCTCATAGAGCGGTATGAGCGGTCGAAGATAAAGTTTTTCAGATGAGTAAGCATATTGATAGCAAAGTATTTGAGACTTTGGGCATAGAAAGGGAAGTAGAGGAGTTTTTGTTTTGGTGGGGGCATAGTGTAATTTCTTCCAAATTATTGAGCCAACATATAAGAGTTTGACATTGGAATTCATGACTACGTGGACACAAGATTCAATTAACTACCACTACGAAAAACCAAAGAGTTTGACTTTTCGACTAAGAGACAAGATGTTTTCGGTTTCCCTATTTGATTTTGGCGTAATTATGAGTTTGTATGATAGGGAGTTCGTGGATATGCCAGAGTTTAAGAACTTTCCTATTTCGATACCAAAAATGCTCATCACTTTTGGTCGCGTATTAGCACGGAGCAATTTCACAATCCTACACGGTCGAAGGCATCGACGCTCCGGTATGCATCTTTGCGATACATTCATTATATTTTGGATCATATATTATTTGGTCGTAGAGAGAGTACGGGGGTAGTATCATCACACGATTTATATTATCTTTGGAGTATGCATGCACGTATACTTGTAAATAGAGGGTTTATGCTTGCACGGTATCTCCTACATCAAGTTGATGATAAACTTCTTAGAGGCATTGCTATTGGGTATTATATTACTCGATTGGCGAAAGGTCTTAAAGTATTTAATGAAAGAACAGAGGAGCCTTGTTGTCTTATGATGCAGTGTGGTTTTCGTACCCTACAGTCTATGGGTATGATTACAAAAGTTAGGACACAACGAGGGCGAGAGCGGTTTGTGCTGGTTGATAAGGTTGATGAGGAGATGGATCGGGATGATCATGCTCAGGGCGACGAGGTTGAGCGAGAGATTGATCGAGAGGCTGTGCACCCTCAGGCTCGTCGCTGGGTTCAGCATAGGGTCTCCAACAAGGAGTCATCCGTTGATCAGTTATGTAGTGAGATGTATCAACGATTCTAAAATATGCATGAGGAGATAAGAACATCGTTTGCAGGTCTTTACGAGCATTTTTCGCTTCCGTACCCGCTGCCCCATGCACCTGCCCCAACAGAGGACATACAGCGGGACAGGAAAGTGATGATATGATAGAAGACGGACATTCGGATTGAATATATATTATGTAGTTTCATGTTGTTTTGTTTTTATGTTTGTTTTATTATGTAAACCGAATTTTTAACTAAATATAATATATTATTAGTTTATTATTTCTATTTAATATGTTGTGGTAATTAAAAATATATATTGATACATATAATAAAAATTTCACTTAAAACATGACAATACAATCAATGAAATCGAAACACGGTCAATGAAACCGAAACACGGCCACTGAAACCAAAGCATGGATGTATGTAGTCTGTAGCTTCAAACATGGAGCCTGTGTTTTAAACACTGCAAGGACTCCTGCAACCTCAAACACGGCCGTGTGCCATAGAAACACGCCCGTGTTTAATTCATTGGGGAAGTAACACGGGCGTGTTTGTATTTAACACACCCGTGTCTGTTTCGGTCAAATTTTTGAATGGTGTGATTTTAAACACGGCCGTGTTCTGTACAATACGGCCGTGTTTGGTCCGAGTCAGAATCCAAATCAGAATCTGTAACAACTACGTCAGTTGGAACCGTTAAAATTTGAACGGTGGAACTACAAATAATAAGTATTATTTTTTTGTGGGACTAGTTTTGATAATTATTTTGGAATGTGATCAAAAATGAAAAAAATTATATTTGAATGGGACTAGAAATGATTTTTACTCTTTTAATAAATTATATATTCGTTATGTAAATTAATACTCCATCTGTCCTATTTTAAAACACTATTTTTACTATTTTTATTCATCCCGCTCAAATGTATTCATTTCTTATTTTATAAAAAAGTAATCATACACTAATATTAAAATACTCTTAATTTTTTTACTAAATTACAAATATATCATTACATATACAATTCATTTATGCATAAAATCAAATGACAAAAATATTAAAATCTTTTACACAATTTCACTAACTAATAACATGTAGTATTTTTTTTAATCTATTATAAAACTCCAATGGACCTCTTTGAAACGAGAGTGGGAGTAAAATATTTACTTATGTGATTAGTATATTAGTGTAGATGACTTTAATTAATACTCTTTCTGTCCATGAGTCGCATTTTCCTTTTGCGTCATTAAACTTAACATTAAAATATTTTTATATTTATATAATGTTTTGTATAAATGTTCTTCTATTAGTATTATACACTAATTGAAGCATTTTTGTAATTTTTTTTAATTTGTACTGCGTTTTGATATAATAATTAATATTCAAATATTAACACGCAATAAGTAAATGAGATCATTAGAACCGGATGAAAGTGGTCTCAAATTTTAGTATAAATATATAATTAACTTGAATAAAATAATATTTTTATTTTTGTAAAAATACTTATATATTAATATAAAAATATTTTTACTTTTTACTTGCACTACAATGATAATATTACATATATAATTACTTTCTATAAAATTCAAAAGAGAAAAATATCAAAGCTTTTTATATGCTTCTATTAACAATAAAATAATGTTATTTTTTAGTTTATTACCCCCTCCATCTTACATTTTGTGCCCGATTTACAATAACTACGATAATTTAGGTAAAATATAATTAATAAGTAATTAAGAAATGTATTAATAAAAATTAATTGTAGTATAATAAAATTAATTATAAATTAAGACTAAGATAACTAGATAGTATAATTAAGATTAAAAATTATAAATTATAAAATTTAAAATGTAATTAAAATATATAATTATAGTTCTTAAAAAAATAACAAATAAAATGAGAAGGATGAAAATAAAAATAATTGACAAAAAATATAAAACGGGACGGAGGGGGTATACAACTTCAAAGGAATATATTCAAATGAGATTGAAAAAATATTATTTATATAATCATCTAGGTGTGTTTGTTTGGAGGTTTGAATTTTTTGTTGGAATTTGAATAGTAAAAGTTTTGAATTAGAGTGTCGATAAGATATTTTAAATATAAAATTAATTTTTAATATAATATAAAAAATATAAATGGATATTTAATTTGATATTTTTGAAAAAAAAAAATGTGTAAACTATGAAATTTTTTTAAAAATTCTTAAAACAAAAGCATCCCTAAAGTAAGGTCATCTCCAACCACACGTCAATTTTGACGTTGCAACTGCAATTATGTGCCGCCGGTCTCCAATCCAACGCCAATTGCAACACTATTTTTGGTGTTGCACTGCAACAAACGTCATTTATGATGTGTTTATTTTATTTTATTTTTTAATTTTTTTACAAATTGTAAATTTAACTTTTAACTTTAATTTTTATTTTTTTTAATTTTTAAAAAATTTATTTAAAATTATAAAAATAAAAAGTTATTTAAAATAATAGGAAAAATTGAATATTTGAAGAATAATGGGGAAAAATAGAGTTATGATTGGAATAAAATTATTGTAGCAATTGTATATTTAGAGATAAAATTGGATAAATATAGTTGATGGGTTGGAGATGTCTAAATATTTCCTCAAAATATATTTGCAAAGTTCTCCAAAGTTCGTGTGTGATCTCGCGAGTGAGCGCGTGGAGTTCTTAACTTTGACAGAAGCTGCAACAAATAAGATTACTGCACGACAAGCCCCACAAATTTAACTCAAAAGGTGAAATAACCTAATAATTATGTGTGTGGTTTTTGGGGGTTTGAGTTTTAGATTTGGATTTTTGAATAATAAAAAATTGAATTTAATACTTGTTTGATTTGATATAAATAAATGATTATTTGATGTTTTAAATTTAAAATAAATTTATAGTATAAAATAAAAATTATTATTTGATTTAATATTTTTTTAAAAAAAATAAAATTTAAATAGTAAAAACTTTATGTAAAATTCACAGAAAAACACAATCTATAATACTCTCCTTGTTCAAATTTAGTTGATATCTTTGGTGTAGTTGTTTTGTGTTTTGGTTTTACACAAATATATTTTTACAGTGAATTTTAGGTATATAATATAAAAATAATAAATATATAGTATATTAATTCTCTTGAAAAAATATATTGAAAGAAAATTGCAAAAGAAACAAATCATTTGTCTTTGTTTTATTACACAATATTTAAGATAATAAAATTTAATAAATTAATAATAATATTTAATTTTTTTATATACATAAATAGTGATATTGATATTTTAAAATAAAATTTAATATATTTGAATAATTAAAAAAGTTTTAAAATATATATTTTAAATTCTATATTCAGTAAAATATATAGAATATGAATATGAAATAAAAAATTATTTTATTTATTTATAATTAATATAAATTAATTTTTTAAAAATATTAAAAATTTTAAATATAAATAAAAATATTTATTAAAAAATAGAAAAATATAAAAAGAAAATTGAATATATGCATGTAAGAAATTAAAAATTTAATGAAATTGATAGATGAGAGATAATAGAGATAAAGATGTTTTGTATAGATGCTACATGTAAGGTATTATTTAATTAAATTAATTTATATTTATTAAAGTATACTTAATATTGATAAATTTATTTTTAAAAGAGAAAAAAATATAAAGTAGAGTGAGATAAAAATAATAATAATAATAATAATAATGCTAAAAAATGTCAATTACAATAAGATGGAAAAAAATAAATAATAATAATAATATAGTTTTTTCGTGCCGGTTGAATATTCAACCTCTTTCTATTATTAATATAATTTTTAAAATAATATATATAATTATTTAAATGGTAAGTTATGGCATTTTTTATTTAATTGATAGCAATAATAATTTTAATTTAAATTTAATATATAATTAAAAAATAGAAAATGTGTTTAAATATTATAAAAATTATATTATAATAAAAAATGTATATAATATGATCATATAATACAAGTATATAAAAAGATACATTTATTTATTTAAATTAACATAAACTAATTTTATAAATGATGTGGAAGGCAAGGTTTTTAGAGATGTTTGAAATTTTGAAATGAAAAAAAAAAAAAAAAAAAAAAAAAGATAAAAAGTTGCAATTTGATTTCATATTTTGTGAGAGAAAAATATATTTGATGTGATATTTTTAAAAAATAAATAGTGTCAAATAAATAAAAGATTGTTAATTAAACAAAAGGGAGTTTTAAATATAAATAAAAATATTTGTATTCAAAAGAGATACAAATAAAACAGTTTTGAATGAGTTTATGATCTTTCATACTCCCTCCGTCTCAATACAGTCTTGTTTACCATTTTTGTATGTCCCAAAACAATAGTCTTATTTCCATAAATAACTATATCACTGTATAACTATTCTTACTCTTTAATTATTATTACACAATTACAACTGCATTTTACAATAATACAATCACAAGGGCAAAAATGTCTTTTATCTGTACTTTTTACCCACTTTAAATCATGTACCTAACACAACCAAGACTATAGTTCCGGAACTGATGGAGTATTATATAGTTAATTAAGATGATTTATATTTATTAAATATATTTTAACTTAGTAAATATTTTCCAAAAAAAAAATATTAATTTTTATAAAATAGATAAAAATAAAAAATATGTAGATTAAAATGAACTAGAAAAAGTACAAAACAGTGTGGGGGCGGCAATGCTATCCGACAGCAAAAAGTGTTACCGTAGACCGTAGACGACACACAATATACGTTAATATAATACAAATATAGTATGACTTAACAATACATGATATTCTTTCATACAGCATGTATTAGCATATGACATACTTCCGTCTCTAACATGCTGTATCGATGAACAAATAATACATATGGTATAAAATAAGGGTGTGTTTGTTTGGGGGTTTGGATTTTTGATTGGGATTTGAATAGTAAAAATTTTGAATTTGAATAGTTGTATGATGTGATATAAATAGGGTTTGATGTGATGTTTTGAATGTAAAATTGATTTTTAGTATAATATAAAAAATAAAAAATAGGTGTTTAATTTAATGTTTTTGGGGGAAAAAAATTGGATGAATAATGGAAATCCTTCAAAATCCTTCAAACAAACACACCCTAAAAATATTTTACTGTTTAGTTTGCTTAAATTCAGCACTTTATTTTTTTATTATTGTTTTTTTTTTTATGAGGGGACCCTAATCTTTCCGTGCGTGAGAGATAGGAAGAGAAAGAGAGTCGTTTTTTTTTTTTTTTTTTTTTTATGGCGGAAGCTGCATCCGTGTCAGTCCATGTCAGAGGACACAACACAACACAACGCAAGGCGGGCAGTGAGGCAGGCAGGCGGAACGGAGGAGATTTCCTTAATTGTTGCATCTCCATGGATGGATCACAATCTAGCCCTTATTACCCACCATTTTAATTCCATCAACTCGCAGCAGCAATGGAATTCATTTGATTAGGGTTTCTGATAGAATTCATTTGTTGATGTCCACGATCGCATTCTATCTCTGTTTCTTCGCGTGAGAGTACGGGCTAGCCAGCTACTTTGGGGATTAGACCGACAGAGAGAGAGCGCGCTGTTATTGGATTTTGATTCCGACTCCGACTCCGATCCCTCATCACTCTTTCCCAACAACCAACGCTTCTAATTTTGGCGCTGCTTTCAATCCTCCTGCTCCTGCTGTTTCCTTGAACAATTTCTGCTTCGGTGAGCCGAAATCTGTGCTGGATTGCAATCCGATTTCCAGCCGGCGGATGCGTATCTAACTTCGAAATGGAAGCAGGAATCCGCCTCCTCCAACGCCAGAGGACCTGAATCCGAGACAGAGAAATGCTCCATGGAGAGTTGGGAGAACGTGTTGCCGGACGCATCTCCGGAGCAGGAGCAAGAGCAGGAGCAGTCTATTTCCCGGTGGATTATCGGCGATGTGGACGACTTCGCCACCGCTAGTTTGAGCAAGGTTCTTCAAATCGGTACCTCCGCCGACGCTAGTGGCTCAGCCGCCGCGGAGTTAGGGTTTCACGGTGGATTTGGGACTGTGGATTACGGATTCGCCGCAGACGACGACCAATTCGGTACGAAGTCGAACCCTTCCATTTCCGCTTTCCTCCATAGATCCACTGCAGAAAACCTCGATTCCTCCACAAATTCACTAAACATAATCAATTTCACCTCCGCCGCCGCACTCCACCACCATCAGCAGGATACTGCATTCGATTCATCCGCAGAAATAAAACCCCCAATATTCAACCCACAGTTTCTCATAAACCAACACCAATCCCACCACAATCAGAACCCCTCATTTTCCCTTCCTTTTCCTTTTGCCTATCCACAGCACCAAGGCCTAATTGGTGAGCTCCATGGCCATGTCTTCAATGGCTGTTTTTGGGACACAGGGCAGGAAGAAGTGTTCATAGGTAGTAGGCATCACAAACAAGGTCAGCTGCAAAGGCCTAGTCCGAATCCGAAGCCGAAAACTGGCGTTGGGGATGAACTAGGGCAGCATTCCCACCAGCAGCATCGGCAATTGATAATCGACCAGCTATACAAGGCTGCCGAAATGGTCCAGATGGGAAATCCGGTAATAGCGCAAGGGATATTGGCGCGGCTCAATCACCACCTCTCGCCCGTCGGAAATCCTTTCCAGAGGGCTGCTTTTTACTGCAAGGAGGCTCTTCAATCAGCCCTCCTCAATAATGGCAACAATCCTGTTAATCCAGCCTCTGCCATTTCGTCGCCGATTAATATTGTTTTCAAGATTTCTGCTTACAGGTCTTTCTGCGAGATCTCACCCCTCCTGCAGTTCACCAATTTTACTTGCAACCAAGCCCTGCTTGAAGTGCTAGATGGTTTTGATCGTATTCATGTCTTTGATTTTGATATCGGGTATGGCGGGCAATGGGCATCGCTGATGCAAGAGCTTGCGATTCGAGGTGGAGGTGCGATACTGCTGAAAATTACTGCGGTTGTTTCTCCTTCAATGCATGATCAGCTAGAACTTGCCCTCGCTCGCGACAATCTGGTTCAATTTGCGGGGGAAATCAATATTGGATTCGAGTTTGAGGCTGTGAGCATCAATTCTTTGGACTCAAGATTATGGCCTTCATCTTTCAACCTATTGAATAACAATGCTGTGGCAGTACATCTTCCAATCGGTTGCCTCGCAACTCATCAGTTGTCACCTCTGTCGACTCTTCAATTCGTGAAACAGCTCTCGCCGAGAATCATTCTTTCTGTCGAGAGAGGATGCGATCGGACTGATCTTCCATTTGCCAGCCAAGTTATCCATGCCCTTCAGTCATATTCGAATCTGATCGAGTCCCTCAATGCTGTCAATGTCAATATGGATTCGTTGCTGAAGATTGAGAAGTTCTTGCTCAAACCAGGAATCGAGAAAATCGTGATGGGCCGTATTCTTCAGTCCCCTGAAAAGTCGCAGCACTGGAGGAGTCTGTTCTTGTCCGCCGGATTCTCCCCGGTGACGTTCAGCAACTTCACCGAATCGCAAGCAGACTGCATTGTGAAAAGGACTCATTTCCGAGGGTTTCATGTGGAGAAGAAACAGTCCTCGCTCGTCCTCTGCTGGCAATGGAAGGAGCTCATCTCCGCCACCGTATGGAGATGCCGATGAAGGTATAGTACTCTTGCATACTTGCATATTTGCTATCGACTTTTGAACGAACTTTAGCATGGTTTAGTATCAATCTTTGAAGTAGTACTTATAGTTCGGTATCTCACATAGTGAGAAAAAAAAAAAAAACCCGTGCTATTTTCATGTCTAGGCGAATTTGACCCCTTGATCGAGTTTAGTGAATTTTATGCATGCCGATCATTTTTGTGCCTGTCTTAACAACCAACGGAATTCGGACATCCAAACTTTTCTATTATGGGCGTCTTCTTTTCTTACAACATCCAGCATTTTGTTTTAAATTCGTAGTGCAACGATAAGCTCCATGTTTCATATTGTTGATGTTCTTGGTTTATGTTATTTTTGCTGATGATCTATTGAAGTTAGTTAGTTTGTTTAGTTTTATACTTGAATTGCATGATGTGAAAGCGATAGAGATTATCGTATCACACTCACTCGGTACGTTATCAATCTCACAATGATCTACTGTAGTCAGTCAGTTTGTCGAGTTTTATACTTTCTTTGCATGAAGATGTGAAAGCGATGGGGATTAAAGTATCACATTTGGGAATGAATCAATCTCATGATGATCTATTGAAGTTAGTTTGTCAAGTTATATGGTGTCCTCGATAGAGTTAATGTAATACGTTATCAATTTCACGAAAGATCTGTTGAAGTTAGTTTGCTGAGTTTTTATACTACTTATTACATTCGGTATGTTATCAATCTCACGATGATCTCAACAAAGATTATTCCATCACCATGGTTGTCATGGCGCCCTTTTGCGGCACGGCGCTAGGGGACCGCCATACCGCCATGGCGAACGCGGCGTACTATGTATAAAATTAAATAGATATATATAATTACTATATGCCTTAAATCATAAAAAGAAATATATTACCATAAAAAATATAATTTCAATCATCAAACAAAACAAAATACTATCCATGAATCTCTAAACCACCAATTTAATGATCTCAAATTTCAACAATCAAAGAGCTCAAGTCCACCACTACCACTAGGAATATCTTCAAAATCATCATCATCAATGACATCATCTAATGATACATCTTCATCATCTAATTCTTGCTCCATCAATGCCGAAGTTGACATTTTCTTAGGACGTCTAGAGTATAATTGTATTGATGAACCCGATGTATCTCCGATATTTCCCCTTCTAGGAATATTGTGGCGTTCAAGATTAGCCGATGCACCCATAGCTTCATCAACATGACTCCATGTAAGATCCTCTCCCGAATAAACTACATCATTGGTGTCAAGAAATCACTCATATCTCATTCAAATTCCTCCAACACCAAAGGATTGAAGTTTTTTCCTTCCTCGCGCCTCTTTTGAAATCTATTCGCAATTTTTCGAATGTATTGAACGAAAACTAAATCGTTCAATCTCTTATACTCCAATCTATTTCGTTTTTTCATGTGAATCTAAAAAAAATAAATTATAATATATTAGTATATGACTACAATAGCAATAATGGTTAATATATTATTTATATAAGTAATTAAATACTTACAAATTCAAATGAGCTCCAATTGCGTGCACACCCGGAGGACGAACAACAAAGACTAATTATACGGAATGCAAGTGATTGAAGCTCGAAATGAAGGCCTCCAAAAGCATTCCACCAATCAACTAAAATTATAAAACATTAAAAAAATATATTTAGTTCGATCTTTAAAGAAAAGATGGAAAAACAAATAAATAAAATAGAAATTATAAAAATTAAGCACTTACGATGACTTTTTGCCTTTTGTTGCTTAATAGCCAATTGTTTTCCGAAGCTTCCCCGCATATTATCATAATCATCGACTTGATCACAAATCTTTGTTTGCAATTCATCATCAGTGACCATTTTTTCAAGAACATCATTAAACATAGCTCGTGGCTTACGAGCATATGCATTATCACTCACCTTGAGATCAAAGTACTTGGAAGGATTAAGAAATAATGCAGCTCCATACAACTCGACTTCATTTGATTCTCCCACCGACAATCGATAATATGCATAACTTCTTTCAACAAATGTGGCTTTTTCTCAAAATCTTCTTTGATTTTCCTTTTAGCTTCATTCATCGCTACTGCAAACTCCGGCATCGCTGGCTTCTCATCCCCGTCAACGATCCTCAAAACAATTAGAAGTGGATGCGATGCTTTTATACAATCCTCCACACCAGTCCAAAAAAGAGAAGACAATACCTTGTTTGCTACTAATCTTCCGGCATTTGTATCAGCCAATTTCGATGCAGTCCAGTCTTCGCTAAAAAATAAGCTCCTCAAAGCATCCCTATGCTTATATAAGCTCTGCAAAGTCAAAATGAGTAGCAAATCGGGTAGGCCCAGGTCTCATAAGATCACTACCGTCCGTCTTCTCCCGCTGCGCATTAAGGAGCTTTACGTGCTTATAGATATAAGTAGTAACTCTTCTTGCATTGTCAATCTTTGCCCGGAAAACAAACAATTTCCCGATATCTTCCAACACAAGATCAAGACAATGAGTTGCACAATGAGTCCAATATAAAGTGGGTATGCGCTGCTCCAATATTTTACCCGTTGCCTCGAAATTAACACCATTGTCCGTTACTACCTGAACCACGTATTCTTTTTCAATTTCTTCAATTTTCACCTGAAGTAAATCCGCCAATAGTGATGCAACTTGAGCTTGACTTGATGCATCAATCGACTCAAAAAAAAATGTACCTTATGGGCTATTGACGAGGAAATTAATCAAATGCCGCCCTCTTTTATCCGTCCACCCGTCGGCCATAAGTGAACATCGGTATTGCTTCCAAGCAATAACATGTTTTTCCTTCAATGTTTGCGTCTTTTTTACCGCCTTCTCCAAAAGAGGAACTCGTAATTCATGATAACTTGGACCTTTTACACCTAGTCCCATCTGCCCCGCTGACTCAGTCATTATCTCAAAACTTTGAGACTTTGCCACATTGAATGGTATGCCATTTTTGTAAAAAAAAATCGGCAATATGTCTATGAAATCTTTCGATCTCCTCATTGCTCCTTGTACACGCTTCTAATGTTCTTTGACTTTCACTACCCGTTTTGCTATGTCTTTCCTCAATGACTTCCTCCGGGGTTTTTCTAAGCAATGAAGCAACCGACTTGCTTTCTTTTCCACCTTGTGACGGCATCGATGGAAAATTTAGAACAGATTGCGAACGCTTCCTCTTGCTCAAAGTACCCGAGCTAGGATAAGAAATTGAGTTGTGCGATACCCCTTGCCTTGCTCCTTGAACATTCACATCAAAATCGTCGTCGTCGTCATCTAATTCAACACGACTACGACTGGGCTGCTTTCCTACTGTCTTTTTCTTTAGGAACTCCCGCATCTCATTCCGGATTTCTTCGGTAGTTTTTGAACACTTCTCTACGTCTCCAGAATTTCCAAGCAAGTGTTGTTTCAATCGCTTTATTCCCGATCGTACTTGCTTATAGCAAAGGGACATTCTACCAAATCTCTATTTCCCAAGTCCGGCCAAAAAGCATATTTCCAACCCGGATCATTTGACTTAGCTTTTTTTTTGGGATCTTTGGATGGATCTATCGTTGACGCTTCACTTTCGGCCATAGCAAATTTAATCCTATAAATATTTATATATCAACATGTCAAAATAATACAAAATAAATAAAAAATTTGTTTTATAAAATGAAAAATTATAAAAAATATGTTGCAAAATAAAAATAAATAATATTATTATATTAACAAATAAAAAATATATAAATAATTAACTTATTATTAAAACAATAGCTAATAATAGTAATATAATATATATATATTAAAAAACTAATAATAGAATAATAATATAAAAATAAATAAAAAATAAAGCATATCCACTTAGAAATTAAGATTAAGATTCCACTCACCCAGAGGATGAGGATAGCGGATGGAGCGCGGCTTCGGTTCAGCGGACTGGAGCGCGGAGGGGAAGATTCCAGAAACGACGCAACAAATCTCAAATTTTTTGAGAAGATCCTTATATTCATACCGGTTCAGTCCACTTTCAAGTAGGGCTTGATTTCGGGTAAAAATCGGTTAAGGGTAGAATTAGGTTAGGGCTTGATTTCGGATTTAGGGCCACACGCCGCGACGTCGTCAGACCGCCTTATGTCACAAGGCGAGGCAGTGACGCCTGGCGCTCTCCGGAGAGTGCTAGAATGCCGTGGCGTCGCCATGGCGCCAAGTGACAACCATGTCCATCACACTAAGTTATGTGTGACGTGGGTATGGTTTGAATTTGTGATCTTAGTTACAAATTTGTCTACTATATCAACTCAGCCATCCCTCATTAGCCATAATCTCTTTGAAAGTTACATAATTATCTTATGTTGTGACAAGTTTATTTATTTATTTGAAAATTTAGATAAATTTGAATATCATGACAAGTTTATTTATTTATTTGAAAATTTAGATAAATTTGAATATCAAGTCTTTCAAGCATTTCTAGTTTAAATTGAAATATTAAGATAGAATTAATTAAACTCCTTCCGTTTCAATTTAAAATATTGTTTTTATCATTATTTTTTTGTTCTACTCAAAAGTATTAAATAAGTAATGAAAGTTAGTCAAAAATAACATTGCATTAATAAGAAACTTTACCATAATTAACAAATCACATTAATTATAGTTTCAAATCTTATCTAAATTTTGAACATATTACATTGTACTATCGACCGCTACATATGTTATCAGTAATACCTTGATATATTTTCATGTTATAAAGTGTTTATTGTACATGTTATTTGTACAACTAAATTTATATTTATTATCTATAGTATACTTTTATAGAATTAAAATGTTATATATATATATATATATAGTAATCTTAATTGAAGCAATTAGTTTAAGTCAAACAAGAAAATGATATGATATTCATGACATACTTCATAATTAACAAAATTTTATCCATTTACTATAGTTTCAAATTTTATCTAATTTTTTTTTTTTTAATCGGATCAAATCTTGACTATATTACATGTTGGAAAATATGGGCGATAATGAGGAAGCGGGAAGGAAGTTGAGTCGAATGAGGCCTTTTTTCACAAAGCAAAATAAGGCCAATAGTGTTCCGGTGTATCCGTATTACTCTAAAAAATAAAATAACTTATTCCTTTTAAGCAGCACCACAAGCAAGAGGCTTCATGAATAGGAAGATAGTAAAATAATCAACAGAGAGATGAGAGAAGAATTTCGGGATGAGAATGTGTAGGCTTATGTGTATGTCCTTGTAGGTCTAGGGTTCATGCCTATTTATAGGCTCTCCACTTAACAAACTTTTGGAGATTTTTTCTTGATATGGTTACCGATAATCTAAATAACAACCATATCAAGAATTATATGTCGTAGGATATGATATCAAGATTTAGATGAGAAATTAATTCTAAGATATAACTTATTCATTAAGTATGGATATAGTTTTTTCGGACTTATCTAACCGACCTGTGAGCTTACTTACCGACTAAGTCCAAAACTCAATTCGAATTTGCAACTCGGTTCGGCATATAATAATGTGACGTGGGTAATTATATCATCTAATTTATTTCTCACTCAACATAATTCGGTTTTGAAAATAAGCTAAATATTTAATCATTATTTGATTACTTGAATTTTCAAAACGAGAATTTTTGCATTCTCCTACACGAGTGAAAAATAGGCAATACTAGGTTGTAATGGCACAACTCTCCTCAAAGAGATATCGCATAGGGCAAGGTAGGTTTTTCTTTGACCTTCATTTTTCGATACCGATCAGGTATACTGGCAGCCTAGTGAACTTTATCTTGAACTATTCCACCACAACGTACACCTAGACAACGTTATCAAAAATGATAACACCTCACATCTCGCATGTTCTCAGTTTGTTTCCATTTCAAGCCATGAAGCACACATTTGTCTTCACAAGTGTTTCAGTTGAAGTAGCCCCCACTTCACACTTGCATAGGTGACCTCCAAGAGTATTATGTTGTACTCTACATATGATTGGTAGAGAGTCATTATAAACTCAATGCTTAACCTTCACCATTGATAGAAGACTCAACATTTGTTACTCGTACTTTTCCTTCCCGAGGAAGGGTAGATGGCGTGTCTTCCAAGTGTTGCAACGTGAACTTATGTAGCTTGGTTTTTTCATTGAACCAACTTTGAGGAATCTCCACTCATTATGGTTGGGTGTCCACTAGAGTCGTTCTCAAGTGTGGTTTTTCAAATTCATTCCTCCAAGTAACTTCAAAAATTGATCTCGGTTTAACCTTTGGTTAGCGGATCCGCTATCTTATCCTTGGACTACACATAGTCTAACGAGATTATCCCCGTGAGATCAATTCTCGCATGGTATTGTGTTGACGACGCATGTGTCGTGACTTACCGTTGTACATCACATTATGTGTCATTCCAATTTCCGCAAGATTGTCACAGTGTATCGTTATTGTGGGCACATATTTCTTTTAACATGGAATCCTCCGTAATAATTGTTGAAGTCATTCGGATTCCTCTCCTACCTTGTCTGTGATGATAAACTCGAATTTTATAAAGGATCCGGCTATACATGTCTGCTTAGTCAATTTCCACGACATAACGCATCCTTGGATTGTAAACACATATCCCTTTGTGGAGAATAAGTCACGTTGGATCCGATATCCAATCATCATCAGAGTATCCTTTAAGTACTTGAGGATATTTCAAATAACATAGCCCACGGTTTTGAGCATGTTTTAAATACCTCAAAACCCTTACAATAGTTGTCCAATAATCCTAACTCGGATTGCTAGCGTATCTACTCAATTTGTTTACCGAGTACGCAAGATCAAGGCGAGTACATTTCGTCAGGAAGATAACACTCTCAATTATCCTTGCGTATTCCGCTTGAGCTATAGGATCACCCTAATTTTCTCTCAACTTCACATTTGGGTCAAGCGGGATTTTTGTTGTTGGCCCATCATTGGCGTCGAACTTTGTTGGTATGTTTGACACCTAATAGGATTTTGTCAGGACGTTTCCTTCAATGTTTAGAGATAGTGAGGGGGGAAAAAACAAAAATAGAATTGAACAACCTTCAAAGTCTTTCTTTCTATATACATCTCTATACGAACCCCTAATTATTTCGATCCCGAACATCACAACGGCCAACTCCAAAGTTTTCATGTCAAAATTTCATTCAACATTTGTTTTGTCCGAACAATAAGTCTTTGATCATTTCTCATGATCAACATATCGTCGAAGTAGAGGCAAACCAACACAAAGTTGTTGAATCCCCTTTCTAATAGACACATTTATCACACTAATTGTATCTTAATCCATTTGAAAACATCATATTATCGAATTTCAAGTGTCATTTCTTCGACGTTTGCTTCAGTCCATATAGAGACTTGATCGATTTGCATACCTTACTCTCTTGGTTAGGTACTACAAATCCTAGAGATAGGAGAATATGTGTATAAGACTTTCTCTCTTGTTTTGATAAAAGCCCTTAACAACCAATCGGACTTTAAACTTCTTGACTGAGCCACCGGCTTTTATTTTATTTTTTTTTAGAACCCATTGCATCATAGGGGATTGCAATCCTTTCAAAAATTGGTCATGATCTAAGTGCGATTTTGCATAATCGGATCAATTTGGTCATTTATCGTTTCTTGCCAGAATTCAACATCTGGCCTTGACAACGCTTTTTTCATTGTCCTTGGTTCATCATTCAACATATATGTGATGTAATCTGGACCGAAGTTCTTGGATATTTTAATTCTCTGACTATATCTCGGTTCTTTTTTCAAGAAATTCTAGTAGTCACTTCTCATGTTCTTTTCCGGGAACAAGGAGAAAGTTTCTTGTTCCAGTGGTGATTCTCTCCGTTTTATATTAACCTGTTTCAAGGGGATACTATATGTTAATCTGATGTCTCTTAGTCCTTATCCCATATTTTATATAATTAATATGTGAGATATAGTTCCGATAAAAAAAAAAAATGTGAGATATAGATCATCGTTGTTTTGGCTTACCTAATGAGATTGAGTGGAGAGTGACCGATGAGGATTTTGTGAAAGTGTATGGGTTTCCATTTGGTTGTAATAGGGCCTCAATTTCCCTTGATGAGTATCGAATTATTATGATTTTGCAGATGAAATAGGCGAAGAATATAGTTTGATTGGAGAGGAAAAGCATCATATAAAAAAAAAAAATAACTTGAAAGAGTTGTTGGAGGGAGACAAGATTATTAGAGAAGTGGATTATTGGAGGGTAAATGCTTTATTTGCTATATGTACGTTTTTTGCTCATATGACAAACAATAGGTTAAATCATCGTTATCTGAAGTTTCTCAAATCCGAGAAACTTGCGGACCAATACAATTGGGTTGACTTTTCAAAGAAATAATGTTTGATGCAGTTCGTGTTATTCGCAAAAAGATGCTAAATGATTATATAAGGAGCGGACATGCATTTTTTTATGTAAGTTATTAGC